CGCTTAATCAGCTGCTTGCACTGTATGCTTCCCGGGAAGCTGAGAATGTTTCGGAGTGTTCTATGGTCTGCTGGGGTAATAATATAGTGTAAAGTGCATAGAGCCTGCTGCTGAGCGGGGATATGCGCTATACAAATGCTATCTATTATTATTATTATTATTATAAAACATATGCAACAAAAAAACCCTCAGATTCTCAGCAATTTGATGAGATAAAAAATATGCAACACGTCTGAGAAGCTACTCATGCATTGTAAAAACAGAATAGTAATTATAACCCTTTAAACCTGCAAAACTAGTAAAATAGCTGAGGGCGAATTTCTCGCCCTTTTGAAAGGATTGTGTAACTTGAGCTAACCATGTTCTTTTATTTTTAAATGTAGATGTTTTTAACCCCCCACCCCGCCCCCAATCGACACAATTCAGATTATTTATGAGGCGGACTTCGACCCTGTCTGTCAGGGCCAATCCACACCGAGGATACAAATTTCAGATAGAAAACCAGAGGTGTTCTATAAAAATTTCCCTCAAATGGGAATTTTTCTCTGGCCTTCTGCGGGCAACGGCAGAGCGCCTAAATGCTACGTCACAGATGGTGGTTATCCATGTTTGAGTAGTCTAGAGATGGGGATTTGGTCAACATCAAGGTACAGAATCGTTTCACAGACACTTGCATACTTTTTCCTTGAGCACTAAATCAGAATTTAGAATCTGTCTTACATCTTACTTAATCAAACTGAGCATACTTCAAGAGCATTTCAATTACGTGATTTCCCCAGATGTACCTGAATCGTACTCCGTGCTTGCCTCTCTCTTCCTCCCTCGTCGCTGTTCAGCTGCCTGATGGTCTGCATCATCCTTTCGTCTTCCCTTTTCTCCTTCTCCTTTCCCATGTTTCGACGTCAGTATGGACAGGTATTTCTTCATGATATCATCCTCACTGCCTTCACTTTCTTCTTCACTACTGCTGTCATCCTCAGATCCAGAACCTTTGTGCTTCTTCTTCTTTCTCTTTTTCTTCTTCTTCTTCTTTGCTTTTTTATCCTTTTTAGATTTCTGTCTTTGCTGCTGTTCAACCTGTAGTGAAAAAAAAAAGAAAAATCAATTTCTAGAAATCTGAAACTTAAGCAACATACAAACTCAGAAAATATTATTCATTCACACACAGGAAGATCAGCACACCACAGAACCCTCTTGCAGAGGGGCTCTCGTGGGCTAGAGGTTAAGGTGTTCGCCC